GCAGCAGCATCATCATCATCAGTATCGTCATCATCATCATCATCATCATCATCATCAGCATCATCATCATACTTATCATCATCATAATCAGCATCCTCATCATCATCATCATCATCATCATCCTCATCATCATCAGCAACATCATCAGCATCATCATCATCAGCATCAGCATCGGCATCAGCATCAACATCATCATCATCAGCATCAGCAGCATCATCATCATCATCAGCATCATCATCATCATCATCATCATCATCATCGTAATCATCATCATCATCATCATCAGCAACATCATCAGCATCATCAGCATCATCATCAGCAGCAGCATCATCATCACCATCATCATCATCATCATCATCATACTTATCATAATCAGCAGCAGCAGCATCATCAGCATCGTCATCATCATCATCAGCATCATCATCATACTTATCATCATCATCATAATTAGCATCCTCATCATCATCCTCGTCCTCATCCTCATCCTCATCCTCATCATCATAATCATCATCATCATCGTCATCATCATCCTCGTCATCATCATCATCATCGTCCTCGTCATCGTCATCATCATCATGATCAGCAGCAGCAGCATCATCAGCATCATCCTCATCATCCTCATCATCATCATCATCATCATCATCATCATCATCATCATCATCATCATCATCATCATCATCATCATCCTCTCGCGAGAGCCATGCGGACGCAAACCGCGCGTCGCCCCACCTGGTGCACCAGGCGGAGTGGCGCCAGCCTCCGGGGATACAGAAACCCGGCGCCGCACGCGAAGTACGCACCCAGCGCGACGCCCCAGGACAGGCCTGGCGCGCGGGCGGAGGACCCCCTCGCCGCGCGCCTCGCGCGCGCGGGCGCCGAGACCTGCGGGGCCCGCCCCGCCCACCCCTGCGGGGGGGCGGCAGGTGAGCGGCGGAGAGAGGCCGGGTGCTGCCAGAAGTGCCCCTGGGCAAAGGTGCCCCCAGGATTCGCGGGGTGGCCCCAAGTGGCTTCCAGAGCACCCCTCGCGAGGCCCCGGGGGGCCCCAGGGGCTCCAAAGTGGAGCGAAGAGCTGGGGGCACCTCGGGCCAGGGGCACTTCTGGCAGCACCCGAAGAAGGGCGTCGTGCGCGGCAGGGCGGGGCGACCCTGCCCCTGCGCGGTGGCTGGCGCGGGCCACCAGCGCGGCGACCCACGTGGAAAGCAAAGGGCCCCCGCGCGCAGGGCCTCCACGGGCAGCTCGCGCGCCAACGTCGGTGCAGTCGCCCCCTCGCCGCGCTCGGATGTGGGCGGGCCACCCTCCTTCTCTGGCGGCGCTCTGGCCAGCTGGCGCGCAGTCTGCGTCGTCGGCGCCTCGGACCGTGCCGTCGGCGCCAGCCTGCACAGTGCGCCGCGGACGGGGGGGCCCGTGTCCCCTGGGGCGCGCAGACCCCCACCGGGTCCCTCGCCGCCAAGCACTGGCCCGAGCGCCAGGCAGGCCGAGAGCGAGCACCCGGGCTGATGTGACATGCGCTGTCCTCCTCCTCCTCTCCCCTCCTCCTCCTCTCCTCCCCTCCTCCTCCTCCTCCTCCTCCTCCTCCTCCTCCTCCTCTCCCCCACTCCTCCTCCTCTCCTCCTCCTCCTCCTCGTCCTCTCCCCCCCTCCTCCTCGAGAGACAGAAGAAGGAAAAGCGGGGGAAGCATAAGGACGACCCCCCTTGCTGCCATCCCGGCAGCGGGTCCTACAGTCGGACCTGATTGGACGGGACACGCGAGAGAACCCCGAGGCCCACATTGCCGTAGGAGTGTAGGAGAAACGGGTCGCGAGACACAAGACACAAGGGCACCCTTGAGTTGGCAGGGTCGACCTCCTAATCCGGGCCGACTGTATCGGGGGCGCGCAAACCTGGATTAGCGATCCATGGATTTGGCGCGCGGTCGCCAAATCCATGGATCCGGGGAGGTGCCCTCCCCAAAACGCGGCTGGTGCCGCCTCGCTCGGCGGCGGAAATCCACGACTTCCCATGGACACGGGACCCGCCGCTAATCCACGCCCCCTCTGATCCATGTTTGCGATCGCCTGAATCACGCCGATCATCGAAGCCTGCGCAGCATCTCCCCCAGCGGACAGCCAGGCCTCACGAGCGGAGGATCCGAGGCGGCGAGGGGGGCAACTCTGGAGGCCAGCCTGGGCCTCCCGCTTTCCCACACCGCCTTGGCAGCTCGAAAAGACGCGCCCGACTGTTCCTCGTTTCGGACTCTGGGGGCCACTTCCCGTCCCTGGGGCCGTCTGACACACCAAAGATGTTACCAGCGTGGACCCCTAACGGCACGTGATTGCACTGCGGAGGTGAAAGCTAGGCGGAATAAACAGCGTGGTGAAAGCCTCTATCGTGGAAGCTACGTATGTGGCGTGAGCTGTGGAGGTCGAAGCTCTTCGGCGTAAGCTATGTGGTGCAAGCTATGTCGTGCAGGCTGTGCGGCATGAACTGGAGGTGGAAGCAATGGGGTGCAGGCGCTGTGATGAAAGCGCCGTTGTGTAAGCTATGCGGTGTAAGCGGCGGTGCAAGGAGGAGGAGAAGGACGAGGAGGGGGAAGGCGCGCCTGCCAGGGCTCGCAAGCATCAGAACTCGTCAACGTGGTCCTCGACAAACTCCCTCCACCCACGCTCGCCCTGCACACGCCCGAACCGCCCCCGCCCTCGTGCGGCGAAGACTGCAGCACGTGAGCTCAGAGCACGGGGCGCCTCCCGCAAGGCGCCCGCGACGCGGCGCGGGCGGCAACGTGGCGCAACCTCGGCGCACGCACCCACCGAGCGCGGGGCGCCCACGGGGTGCCCTTCGTGGCGGCACGGGCGGCGGCGTGGCAGAACCTCGGCATGCCCCCCGAGCGCGGGGCGCCCGCCGGGTGCCCGCGAGGCGGCACGTGCAGGCAGCGTGGCACGGCTGCGGCCCTGCCCCGGGCGCGGGGCGCCCGCGAGGCGCCCACGAGGCGGCGCTGGCGGCGGCGTGGCGCAGCCTCGGCATCCCCCCCCCCGCCCAGCGCACGCGGCTTCCACGAGGCGGCACGGGCGGCGACGTGGCGCAACCTCGACATGCCCCACCCCCCCAGCGAACGGGGCGCACGCGGCTTCCACGATGCGGCACGGGCGGCAACGCGGCGCGACCTCGACATACCCCTGAATCGCGGGGGCGCCCACGAGGCGGCACGGCTGGAAACTTCGAAATGCGAACCAGTCACCTTGATGAAGCCAAGTAGGCACAGCCAAAGAAGAACCCCTAAGTGCAAAACACTGTTGTGGGTAACGAATAACATACGGCCCTTGGAAGGGGTCGAGAGCACCAGGGTGCGGCAACTCGAAAAAAAAGCCTGGCGGAGGACCCAACCATATGCAGTTGTGCGTACCGCAATTGTGAATATCTTCTTCGGTGGCGTTCCCTATGGAGCCACGAAGCGTGTGAGAGGTGTGACGACATGGGTGCGGGGGACGCATGTGGACGGTGGCACTCGGGCCTTCCGTGGAGCTCCCTATGGGGCCACGAAACGTGTGAGGGGTGTGCCAAAAGCAATGTGGGGGACGCATGTGGACGGTAGCGCTGGGGCCTTCGGTGAAGTTCCCTTTGGGTCACGAAACGTAACGGGTGTGCCAACATGGGTGTGGGGGACGCCAAATGGACGGTGGTGCTGGGACCTTCGCTGGAGCTCCCTATGGGGCCGCGAAACGTGTAAGGGGTGTGCCGAAATCGGTGCGGGGGACGCATGTGGACGGTGGCACTGGGACCTTCGGTGGAGCTCCCTATGGGGCCACGAAGCGTGTGAGAGGTGTGACGACATGGCTGTGGGGGACGCATGTGGACGGTGGCACTCGGGCCTTCCGTGGAGCTCCCTGTGGCGCCACGAACAGTTTGAGGGGTGTGCCGAAATGGGTGGGGACGCATGTGGACGGTAGCACTGGGGCCTCCGGTGGAGCTCCCTGCGGAGCCATTAAACGTGAGAGGGGTGTGCCGAAACGGGCGTGGGGGACGCATGTGGACGGTGGCACTGGGGCCTTCGGTCGAGATCCCTGTGGCCACGAAGCGTGTGAGGGGTGTGCCGAAATGGGTGTGGGGGGGCACACGTGGATGGTGGTGCTGGGGCCTTCGGTGGAGCTCCCTATGGGGCCGCGAAACGTTTGAGGGGTGTGCCGAAATGGGTGTGGGGAACGCATGTGGACGGTGGCGCTGGGGCCTCCGGTGGAGCTCCCTGCGGGGCCATTAAACGTGTGAGGGGTGTGCCGAGATGTCTATTCTATGGGGGACGCATGTGGACGGTGGCACTGGGGCCTTCTGTGGAGCTCCCCATGGGGCACAGAAACGTGTGAGGGGTGTGCCGAGATGTCTATTCTATGGGGGACGCATGTGGACGGTGGCACTGGGGCCTTCTGTGGAGCTCCCTATGGGGCCACGAAACGCGTGAGGGGTGTGCCAACGTGAGGGGGTGACGGGAGGAGGGAGAAGGAGGAGGAGGAGGAGGAGGAGGGGGAGGAGGAGAAGAAGGGGGAGGGGGAGGGGGAGGAGGAAGAGGAGGAGGAGGAGGAACGCGGGGATCGTCTCTTCAAAACGAGGGCCCAACACCACAGGATGGTTGAGAACAAACCGTCGGAGGTCTGGAACGAGGGATGAAAAGCAAAGACGCATGCTGGGCAAAATGTCATACGTTTACGATGGTCGTGCCCATGCCCGCCGTGCCCCGCCGAAAACCAGGACGTGGAAAAAACGAGCCGCAGGCCCTGGCTGGATCGGTTCGAGCGATATGATTTGGCTCGCTCTGACGGGCCCGATCAGTCTGGCTCGGGCGAGTCAGTCCGCAATGGAAAGGCGCAAGCGACCCAACACGAGCGAGCCCTTTGGAACAGAACCACCGACGAGCAGAAAAAAACGAAACGTGGAGCGGCATGAGCTGAACTGGAGAACAGCATCGGCCACCGTCGAGGACGGATACACTCTCGCCTCCTCCCTTCTGCTAGGAAGAAGGTGGGCGCGCACGCCTATCCGCAGCGCGTTCTGGGCCTCTGTCAGGGGGGACTCCGGGGAGGTGGAGGACGAAGGCTAAGAGACAGGCAAGGAGCAATTTACCCATCCTCCTCCTCCTCCTACTCCTCCTCCCGCTTCTGCTCATGATCATCATCACCACCACTGGCATAATCATTAACAACCTCAACAAGTATGCTGGCGATGGACCCAACCATGCGCAGTTAAGAGTAACGCAATTGTGGGCATCGCCCTCGGTGAACCTCTCTCTGGGATGACGACGCGTTCGAGGGGTGTGCCAAAATTGGTACGGGAACGCCATGCGGACGCTGCCACCAGAGCCGTCGGTGGAGCCCCATGTGAGGCTACGTAGCGTGTGCGGGGTGTGCCGAAATGCAGGGTGGAACGGCGTGCGGGCGCTGCCACTGGGGCCTTTGGCGGAGCTCCCTATGGGGCCACGAAACGTGTGAGGGGTGCGCCGACATGAAGGGTGGAACTGCATGCGGGCGCGGCCACTGAGGCCTTCGGTGGAGCACCCGATGTTGCCACGAAAGGTGTGAGCGATGTGTCGAAATGGGGGAGTGGAACCGCATGCGGACCCTGCCACTGCAGCCTTGGGTGGAGCTCCCTTTGGGGCCACGAAACGTGTGAGGGGTGCGCCGAAATGAAATGTGGAACTGCATGCAGACCCTGCCACTGGGGCCTTCGGTGGACCAAACTGGGGCCACGAAACGTGTGAGGGGTGCGCCGAAACGGGGGTGGAACTGCATGCGGACCCTGCCACTGCGGCACTGGGTGGAACACCCTATGGGACCACGAAACGTGTAAGGGGTGCTCCGACATGGAAATGAAACCGCATGCGGACCCTGCCACTGGGGCCTTGGGTGGAGCACCCTTTGAGGCCACGAAACGTGTGAGGGATGCGCCGAAACGAAGGTGGAACTGCATGCGGACCCTGCAACTGGGGCCTTCGATGGAGCACCCTGTGGGGCACCAGAACGTGCGATGGGTGCGCCGAACAAGGGGTGGAACTGGATGCGGACCCTTCCACTGGGGCCTTCGGTGGAGCACCCTATGGCTCCACAAAACGTGTGAGGGGTGCGCCAACATGGAGGTGGAACTGCATGCGGACTCTGCCACTGGAGCCTTCGGTGGAGCACACTGTAGTGCCACGAAACGTGTGACGGGTGCGCCGAAATGTAGGTGAACTGCATGCGGACCCTGCCACTGAGGCTTTCTTTCGGTGGAGCTCCCCATGGGGCCACGAAACGTGTGAGGGGTGCGCCGACATGAAGGGTGGAACTGCAGGCGGGCGCGGCCACTGAGGCCTTCGGTGGAGCACCCGATGTTGCCACGAAAGGTGTGAGGGATGTGCCGAAATGGGGGAGTGGAACCGCATGCGGACCCTGCCACTGCAGCCTTGGGTGGAGCTCCCTTTGGGGCCACGAAACGTGTGAGGGGTGCGCCGAAATGAAAGGTGGAACTGCATGCAGACCCTGCCATTGGGGCTTTCGGTGTTGCTCCGAGTGAGGCCAAGACACGTGTGAGGGGTGCGCCGAAGTGGAGGTGGAACTGCACGCGGACCCTGCCACTGAGGCCTTCGGCGAAGAACCCTATGGGGCCACGAAACGTGAGGGGTGCGCCGAAATGGAGGTGGAACTGCACGCGAACCCTGCCACTGGGGCCTTGAATGGAACACCTTATGGGGCCACGAAACGTGTGAGTGGTGCGCCGAAGTGGAGGTGGAAGCGCATGCGGACCCCGCCACTGGGGCCTTCGGCGGAGCACCCTGTGGGGCCACGAAACGTGTGAGGGGTGCGCCGAAATGGGCATGCGGAGGGCAGAGGCAGGGAGTGGAGGAGGAAGGGGAGGAGGAGCGGGAACGCGGGGCGCTGTCTCTTCAAAACGAAGACCCAACACCACAGGATGGTTGGGAAAAACAAGCAAACATTATCCTGGCGAGGGACCCAACCATATGCAGTTGTGAGTACCGCTATTGTGAATATCTTCTTCGGTGGCGCTCCCAATGGGGCCACGAATCCACGAACCGTTTGAGGGGTGTGCCGAATTGCGTGGCGGGGTACACAACACAAAGGAAAACGACAGGTCGAATTACGAGAGACTGAGCGCGGGTGAGTCTGAGCGCGAGTGAGTATGAGTGTGAATGGGTCTGCGTGCGCGTTAAGTATATTTGCGTGAATCCGATCATGGCTACGCCTAGTGTAACTGCATATAAATGTGAATGATTCGGGTATGCCTGACTCTAAACACTCGTGACACTGAGCGAGGCCGCCGCAGGGAGCTTCCCCGGGAACCCCGACGGCAGCGCCCGCACGCCGCGACGTCCATGTCGGCACGCCCCTCACGAGGATCGCGCCCGCTTCCTTCCCCTCCTTTCCTCGCTCTTTGCCCGCGCACTCCAAAGTCCGAGGCTGCGGGCGCAGCGCAGCGCGCAGTCCCCGCGACGCGCGCCGGTCGACCCCGAGGGGTCCCAGCGACGCGCGCGGGTCGTCCGCTGCGCGGAGCAAAGAGAGCTGGGTGGAACCGCATGCGAACGCAGCCACTAGGCCCTTCGGTGGAGCTCCCTATGGGGCCACGAAACGTGTGAGGGGTGTGCCGACATGGGGGTGGAACCGCATGCGAACGCAGCCACTGGAGCCTTCGGTGGAGCTCCCTATGGGACCACGAAAAAAGTGGGATGTGTGCCGACATGGAGGTGGACCCGCATGCGAACGCAGCCACTGGGGCCTTCGGTGGAGCTACCTATGGGGCCACGACAAGTGTGAGGAGTGTGCCGAAATGGGGGTGGAACCGCATGCGGGCACTGCCGTTGGGGCCTCCGGTGTTGCACCCTGTGGGGCCAACACACGTGTGAGGGGTGTGCCGACATGGATGTGGAACCGCATGCGAACGCAGCCACTGGGGCCTTCGGTGGAGCTCCCTACGGGGCCACGTAACGTGTGAGGGTGTGCCGAAATGGGGGTGGAACCGCATGCGAACGCAGCCACTGGGGCCTTGGTGGAGCCCCCTATGGGGCCACGGAACGTGTGAGGGGTGTGCCGAAATGGGGGTGGAACCGCATGCGGGCGCTGCCGTTGGGGCCTTCGGTGGAGCTCCCTATGGGACCACGACACGTATGAGGAGTGTGTCGAAATGGGGGAGTGGAACCGCATGCGGACCCTGCCACTGCAGCCTTGGGTGGAGCTCCCTATGGGGCCACGAAACGTATGAGGGGTGTGCCGAAATGGGGGTGGAACCGCATGCGGGCGCTGCCGTTGGGGCCTTCGGTTGAGCTCCCTATGGGACCACGACACGTATGAGGAGTGTGCCGAAATAGGGGTGGAACCGCATGCGAACGCAGCCCCTGGGGCCTTCGGTGGAGCTCCCTATGGGGCCACGAAACGTGTGAGGGGTGTGCCGAAATGGGGGGATGGAACCGCATGCGGGCGCTGCCGCTGGGGCCTTCGGTGGAGCTCCCTATGGGGCCACGAAACGTGTGAGGAGTGTTCCGAAATGGGGGTGGAACCGCATGCGGGCGCTGCCGCTGGGGCCTTCGGTGGAGCTCCCTATGGGGCCACGAAACGTGTGAGGGGTGTGCCGACATGGAGGTGGAACCGCATGCGAACGCAGCCACTGGGGCCTTCGGTGGAGCTCCCTATGGGGCCACGAAACGTATGAGGGTGTGCCGAAATGGGGGTGGAACCGCATGCGAACGCAGCCACTGGGGCCTTGGTGGAGCCCCCTATGGGGCCACGAACGTGTGAGGGGTGTGCCGAAATGGGGGTGGAACCGCATGCGGGCGCTGCCGTTGGGGCCTTCGGTGGAGCTCCCTATGGGACCACGACACGTATGAGGAGTGTGCCGAAATGGGGGTGGAACCGCATGCGAACGCAGCCCCTGTGGCCTTCGGTGGAGCTCCCTATGGGGTCACGAAACGTATGAGGGGTGTGCCGAAATAGGGGGATGGAACCGCATGCGGGCGCTGCCGCTGGGGCCTTCGGTGGAGCTCCCTATGGGGCCACGAAACGTGTGAGGAGTGTTCCGAAATGGGGGTGGAACCGCATGCGGGCGCTGCCGCTGGGGCCTTCGGTGGAGCTCCCTATGGGGCCACGAAACGTGTGAGGGGTGTGCCGAAATGGGGGTGGAACCGCGTGCGGTCACTGCCGTTGGGGCCTTCGGTGGAGCTCCCTATGGGGTCACGAAACGTGTGAGGGGTGTGCGGAAATGGGGGTGGAACCGCATGCGGTCACTGCCGTTGGGGCCTTCGGTGGAGCTCCCTATGGGACCACGACACGTGTGAGGGGTGTGCGGAAATGGGGGTGGAACCGCATGCGAACGCAGCCACTGTGGCCTTCGGTGGAGCCCCCTATGGGGCACAGAAACGTGTGAGGGGTGTGCCGAAATGGGGGGATGGAACCGCATGCGGGCGCTGCCGCTGGGGCCTTCGGTGGAGCTCCCTATGGGGCCACGAAACGTGTGAGGGGTGTGCCGAAATGGGGGTGGAACCGCATGCGGGCACTGCCGTTGGGGCCTTCGGCGGAGCTTCCTATGGGGCCACGAAAAGTGTGAGGGGTGTGCCGAAATTGATGTCGATGATGGTGACGACAACGGCGATGATGATGGCGACGATGGTGATGACGGCGATGATGCCGATGATAATGACGACGATGATGATGACGACGATGATGATGACGACGATGATGATAATGACGATAACGATCACGGTGACGATGATGACGATGATGACGATGATGATGATGATGATGCTGATGATGATGATGATGATGATGATGATGATGGTGATGATGATGATGATGGTGATGATGATGATGATGATGATGATGATGATGATGATGATGATGATGATGATGATGATGAGAGGAGGAGGGAGGGGACAGCGGGAGAACTGAACGCGGGACGCTCTTCAAAACGAGGACCCAGCACCGCAGAATGGTTGGGAACAGCAGCAACAACAACACCAACACCAACAGCAACAGCAATTACAACAACTATAACAAATACAACAACAACAACAACAACAACAACAAAAACAACAGCAGAAGCAGCAGCAACAGCAACAGCAACAACAACAGCAACGATTGTATCATCATCATCATCTCCATCAGCAACGACGGCAGCAGCAACAGCATCAACAACAACGATGATTACGACCACGACGACGACGGCAATAACAAAGTGAAAAAAAAACAACACCAAGAACAACAACAAACAACCACAACAACAACAACAGCAGCAGCAGCAACAACAACAACAACAAACAACCATCATTTTAAGACTGTTCGTAACTATCTGCTCACGTGCCAACCAATACGTTTTTCCCAAGCCCTCGGTACCCGCCCTCGTCGTCTTCGATCGTAACGCCTTGGGGGATATATCTTCCTTACCTGCCACACGTATTTAGTGCAGCCCCTAAAACAAGGGAAGAGGGGACGGGTGGAAGGGGGAGGGAGAAGAATGGAGCACAAGAGAGAAATTAGCAGGAGGGAAGCAAGGAGCAGAAAACAAGTGGTAGAACCAGACGGGCATATCGGGTGGGCAGACCCATAGCGGGCAGGTCGGGAAGGCGGGCCCAGGCGACGAGGTCGAGCAAGCGGGTTGCTGAAGTGTAGATCCTGTATGGATCGCGAGGAAGTCTCGAGCGATAGCGCGATTCCCAAGTAAATCGTGAGAAAAGCTAGCGTGGGCCACGAAGGGCATAAAATCCGAGGCCACGAAGGGCAGTGACGGGGCCGCTGAGGGCAGCACCGAGGCCACGCAGGGCAGCGAGGGGGGCACAAAGGGCGACAACAGGGCCACGAAGGGCATGCATATGGGGCCACGACGGGCGCGAGCGAGCGGCGGCCACGAAGGGCATTCGTATACGGGGCCACAAAAGGCGACAGCGGGGCCACTGAGGGCATCACCGGGGCCACGAAGGGCAGCGAGGGGGCCACAAAGGACGACAGCGGGACTACGAAGGGCATACGTATGGGGCCACGACGGGCGCGTGCGAGCGGGGGCCACGAAGGGCATATGACGCGGGGCCACAAAGGGCAGCAACGGGGCCACTGAGGGCAGCAACGGGGCCACGAAGGGTAGCGAGCGAAGGCGACCGCGGAACCAGTACGCAGTACGGGCAGCGAGGGGCATCGAAGGCGGGCGAAAGGCAGCGAGCGGCGACTGCAGTCATTAACGGGCTGGTCGGGCGGGCAGGCCCCGACGGGCGAGTCGAGCGGGCGGGTCGTTGAAGCGTTAGTCCTGCTTGAACCGCCAGGCAAGATGTAGCGGGAGCGCGGTTCCCGAGTGTCGAGGACCGGCACCTGAGCAATTTGTGAAGAAATATAGATCGAAGCGGTTCGGTGGTAAGTTGCGAGAAAGTCCCAAGCGAGAACACGATCCGGCAACAAATTCTCAGGAAGTATCAGGCGGGAGCCGCGATTCGGTGGTATATTGCTAGGAAGTCCCAAGCGAGTTCAATCGGAAAAAATGTGCAGTGGGCGGAAGGGATCGACCATATGTATTCTTCAGAAATCAACACCAACAACAACAGCAACAACAACAATAACAACAATAACAATAAGTTTAAGACTGTTCGCCCTTATATGCTCGAGTGTCCAATAATGCGTATTTCCCAAACCCTCGATACCCGCCCTCGTCGTCTTCGATCGAACCCCTTTTGGGCGGTAGACCCTTCTTCCCTGCAGGCTGGGCCCCCGCAAGCAGCGGGGCGGCCGCGGACCGTCGGCCTGGCCAGCGGCAGCGCTGATCGGCGGGGCGGCCGCGGACCGTCGACCCGACCCCAAGAGGGACGGACAGGGGACCGACCGACGACGACGACGACGACGACGACGACGACGACGACGACGTCGAAGACGACGGCGGACGACGACGACGACGGCGACGACGAGCGAAAGCGAGAGCGAGAGAGAACGACAGCAGGGCCACGAAGGGCACGAAGTAGGCCACGAAGGGCGACAGCGGGGACACGAAGGCAATGCGTATGGGGCCACGAAGAGCGCGAACGAGCGGGGGCCACGAAGTGCATATAATGCGGGGCCACAGAAGGCAACTATGGGGCCACTGAGGGTAGCAATTGGGCCACGTAGGACAGTGAGGGGGACACAAATGGCGGCAGCGGGGCCACGAAGAGCATGCACATGGGGCCACAACGGGCGCGACTCCTGGGTGCCTGGGTGTCGGGAGCGCGACGCTTGGGCAAATTGCAAGAAATTCCAACGCAAGGCCATTCTTCGAAATCAGTAAGTTGCAAGCAAACCTCCAGCGAGAGCGCGACTCCAGAGCGCCAGGAGAGCGATTCCTGAATAAATTGTAAGGAATTACCCAGCGAGAGCGCGATTCCTGAATAAAATGCGAGGACGTCTCGGGCGGGAGCGGGGGTCCTGGCTAAATTGTAAGGAAGTCTCAGGCGGGAGCCGTTGTTGTTGTAACCCGGGGGCCAGGGGACCAGTTTGAGCAGGAAGACTTTCCCTGTCAAAAAACAGGGTGCGAGCGTCGAGGGGCACACTTTGATTGAGAAAGAACAATATGCAACGGTGGGGGGATCAACAAAAATTATTCTTCAGAAATGAGAATTCAACAACAACAACAACAACAACAACAACAACAACAACAACAACGACAACGACAACGACAACGACAACGACAACGACAGCGACAACGACAACGACAACGACAACGACGGCACCAGCAGCAGCAGCAACAGCAACAGCAAAAGCAGCAACAACAACAACAGTAGCAACAACAACAACCGCAACAACAACAGCAACAACAACAACAACAATCACAACAACAACAACAACAGCAGCAGCACCAACACCAAAAACAGCAACAGCAACAAAAACGAAAGCCACAACAACAACAACAACAACAACAACAACAACAACAACAACAACAACAACGACGACGACGACGACGACGACAACAACAACAATTACAACAACAATAACAACAACAACAAACAACAACAACAACAACAACAACAACAACAACCATAACCACAACCACAACCACAACAACAACAACCATAACCACAACCACAACCACAACCACAACAACAACAAAAACAACAACAACAACAGCAGCAGCAACAGTAACAGCAACAGCAACAACAACAAGAATAACAACAACAGCAGCAACAACACCAACAACAACAATCAACACAACAACAACAGCAACAACAACAAAAACAACAACAGCAACAACAACAACAACCACAGCCAAAACAACAACCACGACAACAACAGTAACACAGTAACTGTAACAATAATAAGCATGTTAATGACCGTTCGCTTTTACCTGCTCGCGTGCCATTCAACACGTACATCCATAAAACCCTCGATACCCATCCTCTTCGTTTTAGATCGTGCCCGCTTTATGGATGTATCCTTGATACCTGCAACGTGTGTTTCGTGCAGCCCCTAAGACAGTCCCAAACCGCCGCCGTTTGGCTCACGTTAATGTTGGATCGTTGACCACTCAACTAAGATCATTCCAGCATTTCCTCTGCATGCCCCAGTGCTCAACGTGGCTTCATCCGCTAACTGCACGATTCAGCAGGGCAACCGTGACAGTTGCTCAGGCCCTCCCGACCACCCGAAACATCCTCGCGCGACAAAGGACGCAATCGGTCAATGTCACGTCGCCGATCCCCCCCACCTCTTCGACGACCATCCCATAATTTGCCACTAGCCGCACAAGCAGAAATACCGTTAGATATTCGGAACATTCTGGCATCCATTGACGCCTGGCCGACTCCTAGACGACGCCCGCTCACCGTTTACCTATACAATCGTCCTGCAAATGATTCGTCTCAATCATGCTCTTCCTCCTCCTCCTGCTCCTCCTCCTGCTCCTCCTGCTCCTCCTCCTCCTCCTCCGACTCCGACTCCGACTCCGAGTCCGAGTATGACTCCGACTCCGACTCCGAGTATGACTCCGACTCCGACTCCGACTTCGACTCCTCCGACTTCTAGCTGCTCAGCTTCCTCATCCTTACTTCCCCCATCTCCTCTCACCCTTCCCCACCAGCCCCTTCTCCCCTACCCAGGCGCCCCGAGCGTGGCGGCAAGTTCGCGCGGCAGCGCAACTGAAAATCAACTGACCGTGTCGTTCATTCACTACATAACGAAAGCCAACCTGGGACGCACACACACACACACACACACACACACACACACTTCAGTGCCGCCCATGGCAAAATCCATAAGTATCGCAAACTCCTTCTCGACTGTCGCTCCCCACGACCTCTCTATCACCAGAACTCTGACGACTCAATATTTTCAAGTAAATCTCCATCCATTCCTCGAGATCAGTTGCTTATCCTGGATAATTGTATGATGTTTCTGGAGCACCGAGCGGGCCTTCAGGAAATGAGATTCAAAAGATACGCTAGCATTGATAAAAGCAATACGTGTTCGGAGGTCTGGTAGAAGTTTACTGGCGTTCCTCCTACCTCGCATGGCACGGATGTGCCTTGACAGCAGGATCCTGGCTGCGGAGCAGGTTCACCGCGCGCCGCGTCTGAAATCTCTGCTCCTGCGGAGCTGGCACAGCTGCAAACTCCTCTCCACACCTGTCAAAACGAGAGAGAAAGGAGGGACGATGGAAGGGGAGACGGCAAGGCGAAATGAGGCGAGATAAAGGGGAAAGGGAGGACACGAGGAAGACGGAGAGCGATGGGACCCAGTGGGAGACCGTCAAGAGGGGGAAAGAGATGGGGCATTGGAGGGGGAGGGGAACATGAGGGCGAAGGGAAAGGGGGGAACGCTTGGCAAGGGGAGAGGGGGAAGGCAGGAAGAGCGGAGGGCGGGAAGGCGCGCCAGGGCTAGGTCGGACGTGTCCCCTAAAAGCGGATGTTGGACGAACATTTTTTATATATAAAAAAAACGTCCAAGAATTCGTCAGAAAATCGTCAAACAAATCGCCCCTATATTATTATTAACTATTTTTGAATATTCCCCCTGGTAGAGGGACGGGCCCGACTGAGCAATCGACGCTAGCAGGTTCGCACGGGGACCCCCGCGGAGGGGGGACGGCCGAGAGAGGCGGAGGCGGAGGCGGACGACGAGGAGGCACCGACCTCTCCAGCGACTCGGACAGAAAACGCGCCCCGGGCCGTCCCTACTCTCGGTATCTGGGGGGCGCTTCTGAGAGGGCCGTGGTACGGTCAAAAAGTTACTCCGGATTTCGTCATAAAAGGAGGGGGTCACAACCCTCCCAGGCGAGCTTCCAGACCCCCCAGGCCTGCCATGCAAGGGCGGCCTTTTGCCCAGACCCCACTGGAACCCTCCAAGACAGCTCCAAATCAGAGCTCCCCAAATCAGACCACCCCGCTTGTATTGTGAAATTCGGAGTACCGAGAGTGGAAAAAATAGCCTGGCGAGGGGCCCAACCCTTAGAAGTTTCATGCAACCGTGGCGATGGGCTTTCCGTGGACGGCCCGTGTGCGGGCTGCGCCGAGTTGGGTCAAAGCCTGCCAATTTCCAACTTGGGCCGCAGGTTGAGCTTCCGGAGGGGGCGCGAAACATGCAGGGGGCACGCCGAAATGCGCGGGGAAGACACTCAAGCATCCCCGCTGGGGGCCGAAGGCGGGGCTCGGGGTGAGGTGTGCGCCGAGAGGAGCGGGAGCACGCACGCAGGAGCTTTCCCACTTTGAGGCCGCAGGTGGAGCTCCCTATGAGGCCATGCCCACCCCCCCTCCTCCATTTCTTCTCCTTATAGATAACTCCTCCCTGTCGCACCCCGAGACCAGTTTTTAGGGCGGGCCGGGCGTTTCGCCTGAGACTTCCCCACCATTTATGACTCTGAAGCTTAAAGAATGACAACAGTTTCACAGATGGAGGGCGGGTCGTTTTCAAACTGTGGCTCTCGCCTGAGCGCCGCGCACATTCGTTTAGAATATTTGCAAGAGCTTCACAGATTGAGGGCGGGTCGTTTTCAAAACGTGGCTGTCGCCATAGCGCCGCGCACATTCGTTTGAAAAAATGCAAAAGGTTTCACGGATTGAGGGCGGGTGGTTTTCAAAATCTGGCTCTCGCCTGAGTGCCACGCACATTCGATTTAAACATTTGCAAGAGCTTCACGGATTGAGGGCGGGTCATTTTCAAAATGTGGCTCTCGCCTTAACGCCGCGTACATTCGTTTATAAGAGCTTCACGGATTGAGGGCGGGTCATTTTCAAAATGTGGCTCTCGCCTGAGCGCCGCGCACATTCGTTTTAGCAAATTGCAAAAGTGTCACGGATTTCCACGATCAACGTACCAGAAAAGGTGTTTTGGAAGGGATCAGGATTATCCGGGCGCAACAATTATGTTGATTCGCTGAGTTGAAGTTCCAAAAATGGCGTTATGGCACAAGTCTGGATCGTCAAGACGCAGCAGTCAGGTTGATACGTGGCGTTGAAATCCCGAGAACAATGTTTTGGCATGCTTCAGGATCTTCAAACTGTTGTCCTCCAACGAGGTAGTTCCCTCTATGGAAATGAACCGTTGTAGGGGCTTATGAAGAGGGAGCTTGGAGGGAGGGTTAATTCCAACATCGTTGATGACTCTTGGGCTTCCACTGGTGCTCCTCCTCCTCCTCCTCCTCCTCCTCCTCCTCCTCCTCCTCCTCCTCCTCCTCCTCCTCCTCCTCCTCCTCCTCCGCCCCGTCCGTCGCAAAAATAAGCCGAATTGGGCGGCACCGCCATACGGACACTGCCACTGGGGCCGCAGGGTGGAGCTCCACGTGGTACCACGAAGCGTGCGCGAAGGGTGCGCCGAAGTGCGCGGCGCCGCCAGGTTGACACTTCCGCTGAGGCCGTATGTGCAGTGCCCTGAGGAGCAGAACTCGTGAGGGGTGCGCTGAAATGGGCGGCACCGCCGTGACGCCGTGCGGTCGCCCAATGAGATCGGCTCCCCATGGGGCCACGAGACGTGTGAGCGGTATGCAGGAATGGCGCGGCGCCGCCGTGCGCCGGCGCCTACTGAGACGG